CCTCCCGTCCACGCCTTGAGTGCAATGAGACGAAGGAGTATGCAGCAATTCAATCAGTTGTTGCTGCAGTAGAATGAATTGGTAAGGGGTTGTTTAGAAGGAAGGTGAGGAGGTCAGGAAAAATTGTCAGCGGACTGCGGGCGGAAGGACAAGAGGGCAGCTGCCTTGTGAGGTCACAGGTACGCCTACACCTGCGAACGAGGGCGGCGAACGAGGGCGTGCACGCGGGGGAAAGAGAAGAGTATGAGAGAAAAGAGAGGGGGAGAGGAGGGGGAGGGGAAGGGGAGGGGAGGGGAAAGGGGAAGGGGAAGAGAAGAGAAGTGCTGGTGGAAGGGGAGGAAGGATGTAAGTATGTCGGTTTGTCTCGGTGGTGGTGGTGGTAGTGGTGGTTTGTAGTTAAGGTAGAAAAGAAGGCCAATGAATGGCCTATGGGGCTTCAGGAGGTGAACCTCTTGAGTGAGTGAGTGGAAACGCAGGAAGAAATCCCAAGTTACTGAGCACCGCCAGCCAGCCAGCCAGCCAAGGGACGGAAAGCAAATAGTCACGCCCCAAATGTGGGTTCTTCGGAGAGGCAGAGAGGCAGATTTGAAGGAAAAAGGAAATTTGGGAGAAGGACGGGAGAAGAAACTAAGTATACTATAACTATGCCCCCATAAGTGAGGGAGGTGCAGAGTGGATTAGGAAAAAGCGAAGGAAAGATGAGGAGGAGGAGGAGGAGGAGAAGAGAGAGAGAAAGGTGGGTAATATAATAGTGGAGACAAGAAATACAGCTTGCTGGCTGGCTTGCTTGGTTGAATTGAAGCTATTGTCGTTAGATATTTTAGTCCACTGGTGGTTGACGATGCAGTCGGTGTCTATGAGTACATACATGGAGGAATGATGATTGACGTCCGGGGAAGGCAGAAGACTCATTCCATTTCCGGTTCTTCTGACTTCTGTGCTCTTTTTTCCTGGGGGTTTAATTAATCCTCTTCCTTCCCACCAATTTAAGGAATTGTTTGGATTCCCATTTCCGCTGAAACCATCCCATTTGGTCCTTTCGTGGCCTTGAAACACGAGGGGATGGACTATGGCTCGATACAGACCCGCTTATAGCTTACTTACCCAAGTAGTTGGCCTCCTCAAACTGCAATGAAGCTGAAAAGACAAAAACAAGGCCATTGAATGCGGATTAATTACAATGAGGGGATAAGTTGGGCGGTAATCATATGGCACGGTCGCCCCTCTCCTACGGGATCTCTGGAGAAACTCATGAGAACTCCGTACTTTCAGCTAGTTTCTACTCATAAGAAACTACACAGTCCCTCTCAGTTGAGACGCCCCCCTCCTTCCCCTTTCTTGACCCCATTACGGCTAAGGAAAAGACAATGCTTCAGCTTCATGCTGCTGATGGTGATGTAATTGGGATTACTGAGTAGTTGCAAGTTCGCTGAAGGAGAATAGCAATAAGTCGATCCCAGAAGCACACAGTATGATCAACAATGGCCCAGCGATCTGTGATCGCACGATGCCCCTCCACCCCCTCCTCTGCACCCCCTGCCTTCCCTCCTCAATATGCCCATTCATTTCACCCATCCATCTCAAGGTCGACTCTAAGAAAGATGTAAAATGCTTGGGGAGGCTTGGCTGACTAACCGAATTAGCCGTCCCCTCCATGGCCCATGGATGCTCAGACTCTCGGACTCTCAGCTGTAGTCTGGTCTGTGGTCCGTAGATCACCACCAAACTATCCGAAATCGAGATTGATTGGGCCACCAGACTGGAAATTGCAGATCCACCAGCGTCACTGGGCATGGTCAATCCCAGCTCGCATTTGCTGTTCTAAGATTGCTGCATTCTCTTGTGTCCTTCTCGCAGCTATGAGTACGAGTTTCTCCCTAAGCTTCAGGAATCAAGAATAGACAAATGCCTTGAGGCCGATTTGTAACAACCACTGATCCAAGTCAGGTACGTCAGATACTGTACCTGAGTGCAGAGTAATCTAGCCATGTCTACCAGACCCAGCTGGTATGTCAGTCGAGCCAGATCTTGTCCCAGCAGCAAGCAGCAAGGCTCGTGCTCAATGCATAGCTGATTCTTTTCAATGTGGCGAAACACTTTCCGAACCACTCTATACGTGCGCAAGGCCCAAACAACAAGATCCCACGTCCCACATCCCACATCCCACATCTCTTACAGTGAAAACTTGTGAGGAAGAAAAAGTAATAGGCCATTACATACTTGATAGTTCACCGCTAAATGACCCTTGCTTAATAAGACACCGGAACTACATCGCCGCGTGCACCGTCGGGACTTTCATGGTTTAGGTCCACGGAGGCTTCGCAGGGCCAGACCATCTGACTCGACCTCGGCGCCGGGTCGACCATGCTCTTCGTCCCCATTGCCAAAGAGGGAAGCTGGCTTAGACCGCGGGCGACCTTCGCCATGACGAGTCTGCTCCGGAAGTACGGATGCCGGGCTGACAAAGCTCGAAAGATGTCGCTTGCCGCCGAGCATCCAGGAGAATTCGGAGTCTGCCAACGATGGCCGAGATACATGCCGGAGGGGCATGGAAGTGGGAAATTGTGGGCTGGTGGCGGTGCTGCGGTTGACCTTCGTCCCAACGCCAATGGGAGATCTGGGTGACTCGGCAGATGTGCTGGTCCGGTGGGTAAAAGTGGAGGCGCGATCTGCCCCATCGTTTGCAATTTTGACGCTGTCACTGGGAGCTTCAGCAGCTTCAGGGGGCGTCTCGGATTCGGCATTACTATGCTCGCTCGGGGATTGATCGGCAGCGCTTAAGGGGAGGTTGTGGTCTTCCAGACAGCTTTGGATGCTTTGAACCTTGTCAAGAGCATGCTCCAAAGTGTCCTTGTCACTGCTGCCCGTATTCTCAGCTTTGTTCACATGAGAGCGTATGTCCTTCAGCGCAAGATTTAGCATCTTGGCGAGTTCCCTATTCCGCCTCTGAAGTTCGTCGACCTTCGCTTTCAACTTGGATGTATCGTCGGATGCACGATCCCAGGGAGTGCCCAGTCCCTGGCTTTGGCTCTCGTACCGTGTCCCGCGATGCTGATGTTCCGACTGGATAGACTGCATGTTTCGTTTCGCTTCGCTCACTGCCCCTCGAACGGCTTTGGCGACTCCCCAGGCCTCTGTTCGGCGCTGAATACCCTCCGATACGTCCTGGAACAGCGCTTCGAGGCTCTTCGGGCTGTTTCTAGCGGGTGACCTGGAAGGAGAGCTGACCTCACTCAGATCCCTAGATGCACTTCGCAGGCGAAACTTCCCTTTCGAAGGTTTGGCACTTGGTTGTCCAAGTCCTCTCGACAGATTTGGCGGTCTACCGGAATACTTCGAGATGATGAATAGACCTCTCTCCGGGGTGGGGTTTTGTTCCAGATATATTCCGTCGTAGACAAAGGTCAATGGTGAATGAGGGTCGGGGGCTGGATAACGCAGCAGGATACTCAAAGCGCTTGAGGAATCAGCACTCAGTACTGGTAACTATTAGCACATGGGCTCGCAGCACTCATCACCCATCGGGAGTAAAGAGCATCGTTGTATGATTTCGCGACGGAAAGGGATTCTCACACTGCCAACGGATCCGCAACAGCATTGCAACGCAAACATATTCAATAAGCTCCGGACGTAGTCCTTCTGCAAAGAGTAGATCCCAGATTTGAAGGACGTCTTGAAAAGCGAATTCGCGCCCGAACAGAAGACGCATCCAGCGACTTCACACCATATCAGCCTTGCGCTCCCCATTCGAATAGATGCATGACTTACGTCAAAAAGATCTGTGGTAAAATCTCCAGTGCCTCCAAGTGATCCGCAAGCTCGAGGTCTGCCGTGACCAGGAGTTCATTGTGAAGGCGCTGGCACTGATGCACAATTGGAACAACATCCAACTGACCATTGGCCGATCGAGTCCTATTGTGCTCGTAGTACACGCGGACATTCTGCATCACTGAGCAGAACAGCGCGAACGAATCATGCTCCACATAGTTGGCATCGAGAAGTTGAAGCATCGCGTCATCATCCGGTTTCGTTTCTCTGGTATCTTCAAGTGGGTTCGTCTCGATCGCATCCCGGTCGACCACCCACAAGAGAGGCGCCAATATCTCATGCATGCCTTGCCGATAACCTAGGTCCGGGTTGAGTTTCGCATAAATGAATAGTATATCGATCATCTTCGCTTTGGTGGTGGGCTCCCGGAAGAAGAAGTTCTCCTGCAGACACCGATCCACATCCTGAGAGATATCCGCTCTTGTCTGCTCATCGTTCCGAAGCGTTTGCCATGGGGACTATGGAATAAACACCACGTTAGTTACTGCAATCTCAAAGGCCATGACGGTATATTGGTACCTACCTCCACATCATCCGCCAGCGGATCAACGGTCGACTCCAAATCGTCCGGGTGGTCAATATATTTCAGGAAGTGGGCCTTCAAGGCGACGTAGGCGCTTCGTGAATCAGATAGCTTCTGCGGCCACTGTGCCCGATCCAGATCGTCGAAAAGCAGGAAGGCCTACACCCCCAAGGTAAGCGACTTAAATCACAGCATAGCAGTAGCAGGCGCATGCCTTCCAACAGATCGATCTTAGCCCATCGTTGCACAGTTTGTCGTCTTGCTCCAATTTGAGGGCATTCCGAAAGCCGGCGGTGGTGTCATGGTCGCAAAACAGGGTATCCCATCGCTGCCTGACCGTTCTTGAGCCGGGATTTCCTTCATCGGAGGGGCATGTGTAAACCATTGGCCGTACCTTGTTTCCTCGATTCCCCTCATTTCACCAGATGGCTCTTCGCAGATCGATGTTCTCACAAATGCTGCAGATTGACACGCATCAAAGGCACAAGTGCTGGTCCGCGGTTGAGGTTGCGGGCAGTTGTCCGTAGCCGCGGAGGTTGGACCCGCCAAAGAGGATTTTCCGGCCACGCCGGCCTTATCTATGCGCCAGGTTTAGTTCGATCACTACTACATAGCGTGACAAAAGACTAGCCTGACCAGGTGCAGATCATATCTACTTCGAGGGGACCGTTATATGGTCTGTTCTATTGATTGCTCTGTTGGCATTTGTCTTTTTTGTCCTTTTTGTTTAGCAGTCCATCCCATCTAGTGGCAACTGTATTGCCCCGAGAGCCGTTCGGTGAATCAAACCCAGGACAACCCTCACACAGTCAGCCATCCATGTCCGCGGACTTGTTTGCAGAATTTGGTATCAATACCAATTCCAGCCAGCCTGAGAATTCTCTGAGCCAGCGATCTGCGAGACATCAATCTTCTTCCCTGGTCCCAGACCTGGACTTCTTCGGCGAGACGCCCTCAACGCCATTCTCGAATCAAGCGAGCCAGCTCGGTACAGCAGGCACGCAATGGCAAAGCTCATCTTGGGACAAGTCATTTGCGTCGGGACCGGTACAGCATGATAGTGGTAACGATGTGCTTTTCGATGCCGCTCTTGAGACTGCCTCATACGATGAAAGCGATGATTGGGGCGAGTTCGAAACTGCAGATGTGCCTCCTCAACGAGCGCCTGTAGAAGAACAGAAGCCCAAAAGCACGCTGTCTGCTGTCCGCCCGGCCACGGTGCAAGATCCTTTCGATCTTCTAGACTCACCACCGATCCAGAGTGTGCCGTCCGTTTCTGGTAAACAGACCGTTGCCACACGACAGCAAGGCAACACCCAGAAGATCCGCAAGGAACTGCCGCGTACGACGCCTTCACTGTTTACTGAAGATGATTCTTTCGAAGACTGGGGTGACTTTGTCGACGGGCCAGCTACAGCCCAAAGTCAGGTTCAGGACCGAAAGGCACCCGTATCGAGGACACAGCATGGATCTACTTTGGGCAGAACAAAGAGCTTGCACACTACGACTAGTGCTACGAAATCCGAGTTGAACTTTGCAGTCCCCAGCTCCACAACTACGGCAGATCAAGTCCGTCCAACCAACATACCACCGCCATCAGTATTGTTAGAGCTGTTCCCTCAGGTGCTCGAGCAACTCCGACATGAAGCCACAGACGCAAGGAAGGATATGCAGCGGAGAGATAGAGTCGAACGTGCAGCGTGGTCAATTCAGATTACGCTGAGGACTGCCGCTCGAGTAGTTGCGGGCCGTACCTTGCGATGGAAAAGAGACAAGATTCTGAGCCAGAGCATGCGGATTGGCCCGGCAGGCAAGCCTGGGGGTATGAAGCTCAGCACGGTCAACAAGAATGAGGATGTCAAAGAGCAACAACAGGCTGTGGATGTGCTCACCATGTGGCGTGATAGGGCGGCACTTTTCAACTCCGTCATCCAGGCTTCCGGAAATCGAGCAGTTCCTATCATTCAGGACAACGTTCGGGCGATGATGCTGAGCGCCGACCGGGGCGCACTCAAAGCATCACATGCCTGTGCTCTCTGCGGATTAAAACGAGATGAGCGGTTGCCCAAACTCGACGAAAATGTGGAGGATAGCTTCGGCGAGTGGTGGACCGAACATTGGGGTCACACCGACTGCCGGCAGTTCTGGGAAAATAATAAGACTCTGCTTGGTCAACGATGAATGTATAAATACGCATGATAGTTGGAAATGGGGTGGATAAGGACCAATGCAAGTGGCTGCTCAGCCACACTAAAGGTGTCTGTTAATTTGGTAGGTCTGTATGCAAGCTGAAGGTATCTGTAATACATCGCGACTTTCTTCAGGGACAGAGTGCATGACTACGATTGGGAGGTCGGGCATCCTTCCGATCACGTCATGAGACATGGAGTGGGGTGTGGGCGTGTCTACAGTTTCCGTGTTGATGTGAAAGATTTGCTTCACGGCTGAAGTAGTGTGTCTATTTGATGTTAGTTGTTTGGAATGCTGAACGGATGATGCTTAGGGGTGGAATACGCTTGTGGCGTTGTACAGTTGCTTGTGCAGTACAGGTGCAAATGTTGACTTATCGTCAGTTACAATAAAGCGATAACAATGATAAGCTCAATCCAAAGCGGGGTCATGTACGGAGTACGGAGCATCAATCAGTAGAGTGCAGTGTCGGGTGATGAGCCAGACTATTCAGATGTATTGTACCTGTCATTATTTGCGGCTGAGATTATGCCAGAGACTTACTCCGTACTTCCGAATGACTAGTAGGCTTTTACACAAGATGAATCGATCACTGCGTCACGGGGGCTGGTCTCTTCCCAAACTTGGCCAGATGCGGGGGCGTTTCCTCAACTCCGACGGGGAGCAGCTGCCTGAAGTTACTACGTACAGTCGGTACCTTCCACCTCCCGGCTCATTCATCTTCGTCCCCCCCTCATCCCGTTTGTTCCCTCGCTGCAGGAAGGAGAAGAAGTGATCTATCGATCCATCGACTGACTGTTTTCAAATCCACTCTCGTCCACTTTCTCGGATTCCCTGATCAGCCAAGTGCCACAACTAAACCATAGTCAAGCCCGTTGGTCTGGGCTGCACCTCCGCTTATTCCCGAGGTCCTTCCACCGCAGCTGCTTATCATCACAACCACTCCACGCCCAGACCAGGAGAAACAGTCGTCTCCCTGCAAATTTCTCCCTTTTGAGTTCTCTTGCCCTAGTCTTCTGACACAGTAGTCGAAATCCCACCTTATCCCCGTCTGAGATTAACCTTTGTTTGTGCACGATAAGACAACCCAGCCAAACGTATACGCATAGGGGGGGGCTAGGACTCAATCCGAAGGCTCAAAACTTACTAACAAACCCCTTGTTCACTTTCCATCTTGCATCTCTGGCTTGAACGTCCCTCGAACGTGATTCTGCACCTTTTCAAATCGGTGACACTACAGTATCCTGATAGAACCGGGGGCAGTGGGCAGGCAGTCACGGATACGACATAATGGGTCTCATATACAACGTGTACCTCACCTCCAACAAGATCTTTGGGTGTAAGCAATGCAAAACCCACCTGGCGGACTACGACGACATCATCAGCCGAGTATGTGTGTTTAGGATTCTGTCTCCTTGCATTGCTTTCCCTCTTTGAGTGCAACAGCTGACCATGCCATGTTCCTTTCCCTGCAGAATTTCCGAGGCCAGCATGGCAAGGCATACCTCTTCAATAACGTCGTGAACGTCACCCAGACCGAGGCCGTGGAGCGGAGCATGACCACGGGACGACATATTGTTCGCGATATCGCCTGTCGACAGTGCAAGGAGACGGTCGGTTGGAAATACGACAAGGCCTACGAGACGAGCGAGAAATACAAGGAGGGGAAGTTCATTCTAGAGGAGGAGCTCCTGTGCGTTGTGTGCTGAGATTCTTTGTACCAACGTTGTGGCCATGGAGACTCTGAGCCGATATAGCCACATGCACCCATGGCCTGGCCTTTTTCGGTGTGCATGTTTCTGTGATGGGGCCCCATTGCGTTTGCGTGGGTTGAAAGCTGAAGACCGGTTCGTTCAGTGAGCGATTGTTTATCACTATCTTGGTTATTCTTTGAGCGATACGACGGCGTTCTAATGGTGCAAAACACTTTGACTTGGCTTGGCGGTTGCTTTCACCCTTGAGGGTTTCGCCCGACACTTATAACAAACAGTTTCATGACTCGAATAGTCAAGTGGTGCATGAGCTGGTAGTTCGAATGTGCAGGGCTTGGCTGCTCTGACGGGGCTACGTTATTTGACCTACATGTGGTCTGGACGTGATAGAATGTCTTCTTTACTTTTCGACGGTCGCATCTTGAGTCATCTTGACAAGTTTGGTAGGCATTTCAGCTCGCTTTGTAGTGTACTACCGCCTGCATGATCTGCACTAGGTTGTTGAGGTTCGAGGACCCGGGGAGATCGCACCGGCATTCTAGTGCAATCGTATATATCTGCCTCCGCACCCGCAGCATATAACTGCCCCCAATAATATACCTCCCAACTACACTACACATTCTCCTAGACCCTCTATCTCACCACAAACCACACTCTGAGGATACACCACAGAGCAAAAACAGCTACTTTAATCCTTCCACCTCCCTACTCCTCACCCTACATTACCCCTCATAATCACATCTGCCCCCCCCCAAATCCCCCCAAATGCCTTACGTACAAAAATGGACCCACCCACCCAAGCATCCTCGACAAGAGGAGGGGGAGGGGCAACAACCCGCGACCGCATCTACCGCGCCCGCGCCGGCTATCGGAGCGGGCGGGCTTTCCTGAGGGACGTTAGGGAAATCTTTTCCAGCGCTCTCTTTACCATTCTTCTTCATCATTCCCAGTCCACGGCGCCACAATCTTTCGTCCGATCGGGAGAGCAATTGCAACATAAATACCAGATTTGAAATCGCAGACCGGCAAAAAAAAATGACCAGCGAACAACAACAGAGCATGCGCGTGGTGGCTTTCCGCGGCCCTTACAAGGTGGCGGTGGAGGAGCGGCCGGTACCCCGGGTTCAGGACGCGAGGGATGTGGTGGTCAAAGTGAAGTATACGGCGCTTTGTGGGAGGTGAGTAACTTTTCTATTCTGTGTTTGTAAGCTGGGATTGAGGGGAGGGGGGAGGGGAGGGGAGGAGGGCTGTTAATATGGGGTTGGGTGCGGGGTATAGCTTTGTGCTTTGGGACTTTGTTTTGAGTGTTAGAGGATCTTGACCTTTCAACTGATGAGTGCTCTCGCTTAGTGATCTTCATGTCTACCGCGGGATTGAGCCGAGCGGGGAAGGGGTTGTGATGGGACATGAGGTTACCGGAGTGGTTGTTGAGGTTGGGGATGCTGTGCGCTCGGTCAAGAAGGGGGATTCGGTTGTGAGCGCTTTTACCACGTCTTGGTGAGTGATTATCTTCCAGTGTTTGTTGCTTGTTGCTTGTGTTGCTCGTGTTGTTCTATTTGTAGTGGTGGTGGTGGTGGTGGTGGTGGTCTACTGGGGACAGGGGATGAGGAGCTGCGGAACACATTTGAGAGGAGGACAGATGAGGTGGTCTCGAGGATTAGCTATTAAGGGGGGAAATCGATCTTTATGCTGATTCATGGGTTGGTCAGCGGCAAATGCTGGTACTGCACTCAGGGACACTCTTCACGATGCGAGCAGAATGTTCTACTGGGATGCGATGCCCTGGACGGCGCCCAGGCTGAATATGTGAGTAGATTCTACAGATCTGAGGGCGGAGGATCAGACCATTCCCAGCGATGAAGAGGCTGAACTTGTCGGAACAGATCAGAATTCCCAATGCGGACGGCACAGTGGTCAAGACCCCCGAAGGGGTTGATGACAAGCTTCTGGTGCTTATGGCCGATATCTTCCCTACGGGTTACTTTGCGGCGCGCAATGCGTTCAAGGCATCCACCCCAGAGCAGATTGCAGAGCAGACGGTCGTCCTCATCGGCTGCGGGCCAGTCGGACTTTGTGCTCTGATCAATGCGCTCGAATACAAGCCTAAGCATTTGCTGGCGGTGGACTCGATTCCCACGCGACTTGAGTTGGCCAAGTCGCTCGGAGCCGAACCCTGGAATTTCCAGACCGACCGGGAAGGTCTGGACAAGCGCGTTCAAGAGTTGACAGACGGGCGCGGCGCAGACGCGGTCATCGAGGTCGTGGGCTTGAGTCCGGCATTGAGGACCGGATTCGATCTGCTGCGGCCGTTCGGTACCATCAGCAGTGTTGGCGTTCACAATGGCGAGGTAGGACCTCCGGTGGTCTTCGTCTAGTTGGTAAAAGCTGACTGGCATCTGTGTGTAGATTCCATGGACTGGTAGTGAGGCTTATGGCAAGAACCTGACGGTCCACATGGGACGATGCCCTGTGCGTTCGGTTTCCGAGCAAGCCCTGCAAGTTCTGAAGAAGAACCAGCATCTTCTTGGGTACGTGTCGCGTCGTTTATTCATTCCCTGACCTTGCAGCGCTTTGGCTGACTAGTAGATCTAGGTTCATGGCCGACAAGATTATGCCCCTTTCGCAGGCGGTTGAGGCCTATGAGCTCTTCAATGCAATGAAGGTACAGAAGGTTATCTTTGAGGTCGACAAATAGGCTGTCTGCATCGCGTTCAATGGACAGGAGATCTGCTGTCAAGCGCTCTCAGACCATACCTTAGAAAACCGAAGCGATTGACTGCACACGAGGGGGAAATGTAGTCGTAGTAATCACAGTCCCGAGAGTAGTACAAGTGAAAACGAAAACAAGCAGTGGCACCATCGAGTCATCCGCGAGACGTTTGCAACTCAGCAACTGGGAAATGAGGAGACACGACAAACAAACGCCCAAAGGTAAGGGAAGACTGAAGGATGAAGAGTGAGGAGGAGGGGAAGGCGAGGGGGAGAAGGGGGAGGTGGTGGTGGTGGTAGTAGTTAAGGTGGTAATGTGAAGCGGAAAAGTCACTTTGCCAGTTAGCCCAGCCAGCCAGCCAGCCAGCCGCCTGCCTACCCGCCTAATGAACATTATTCTCTATTCTCTCTCAAAGCTCTTTCTTTCCTCCTCCTGCCTTTCTGCGCCTCTTCCGTCTGTTTGCTGCTCCCACCTTCTCTTCCTACTCTCTCTCCCTCTTCCCTCTCCCTCTTCCTCCTCCTCCTTCTTCTTCCTCTTCTCTTCCTCTTCCACCTTTCCTCTATTCTCGCTACCACCACTTCTCCCCTTCTTCTCTTCCGTATCCCCCTCCCGTCTTTTCTCCCTCTCTCTCTCCATCTCCTCCCTCTTCCTCTCCCCTGATTCTTCTATCCTCCTTCCCGCCACCTCTCTTTGTTCTTTCGCCCTCCTTCATCCCCTCCCGTTTCGCCCATCCTCCACCTTTTCCCCCGCCCGCCGAAAACCCCTCAGGATCGATCTCGTCACCCCTCATCACCACCACCACCCCCTCCTCGATTTCTCTTCTTCGGATTATATCCGCTTTATCGCCTTCTTCTATATTCGTTGATTCCTTCAGGTAAGACTATCGACCGCCTTCGATCCCTCGGGCGCGAGATCGGATTTTCGCCCGTCACCTCGCTATCCAGTCAGATCGTTGCGAAAACAACGGTCATCCCTTCGCTCTTCTTTGTGAATTGTGAAGCTGATTTCACAGGTGAAGTTCTTCGAGAGCTTATATCCTTTGATTGCCACCTTTTCCCCGATCTCTTACTCGACCTTCAATTTGACATCATGGACGCCTCCGATTTGCACGAGAACCCCATGGTTGATGAGAACATGGCTGACGCCGTTGACATGATGGATGAGGGTGACATCGAAGTCATCCCCAAGACCGAAGAGGAATACGCCCAGTCCACGTTGACTCTCCGCGCCATTGTTTCCTCCAAAGAAGCCGGTATCATCATCGGTAAAGCCGGCAAGAATGTTGCTGATCTGCGTGACGAAACCGGTGTGAAGGCTGGTGTGAGCAAGGTTGTTCCTGGAGTCCACGATCGCGTCTTGACCGTCACTGGTCCCCTGCACGGCACTGCTCGGGCCTATGCTTTGGTTGCCAAGGGTTTGCTCGAGGGCGCCCCGCAGATGGGCATGGGAGGCGTTGTGTCTAACAATGGCACCCACCGTAAGTGAGCCCGCGCACTTGAGTTTATTGTTTAGTCTATCGAATGGCTAACATATTTTTAGCCGTCCGTCTCTTGATCTCCCACAACCAGATGGGTACCATCATTGGACGTCAAGGTCTCAAGATCAAGCATATCCAGGACGCGTCCGGCGTGCGCATGGTTGCGCAGAAGGAAATGCTCCCTCAGTCCACCGAGCGCATCGTTGAGGTCCAGGGCACTCCTGAGGGCATCGAAAAGGCTATTTGGGAAATTGGAAAGTGCCTCATCGACGATTGGCAACGTGGAACCGGCACTATTCTGTACAATCCTGCTGTTCGCTCCTCGGTCGGCGGTACTAGCAGCTCTCCCAGTAATCAGAACACTGGCAATGGTTACAGCAGCCGCCCTTACAACCGCACCGGCAACGGTGCCGACTTCAGCGACCAGTCCGGCAGCTACAGCAGACGATCCAACCCCGATACCAGCAACCGCGGCTACCCTCTCGTCACCGAAGACGGCGAGGAGATTCAGACCCAGAACATCAGCATCCCCGCCGACATGGTTGGATGCATCATTGGCAGGGGCGGAAGCAAGATCACTGAGATCCGCAGAAGCTCTGGAGCTCGGATCTCTATCGCCAAGGCTCCCCACGACGAGACGGGCGAGCGCATGTTCACCATCATGGGCAGCGCTCAGGCTAACGAGAAGGCTCTCTACCTTCTTTACGAGAACCTCGAGGCCGAGAAGACTCGCCGCAGCCAGCTTCCTCAGGAGTAAAGTCCTATCATCAGACTACCCTTAAGCACAAATCTCGCGCCACATTGCTACCACCCGAATCCTTATGCGCTTCCTCCCAGAGAACATAATCGCGCGATGTCTCCCTCTCGCTTGTGCTAACCACTTTGATTCTTGATGCTGTCTTTTTTTTCTCTCTCATATGGTCCTATTTGTTTTACCTTATAATCTCATATGTGCAGCTTCCTTGGTTTTACAAGAAGCAAGAACGTTGCTAAGGTGGACCATGCATGCCTGTCAGATACCAGTATTATGTGATCCTCCATGATCGCTTTGACTTGAAGAAACAAGAAATGAATCCGAAATCGGAAGAACTACTGCCGACGTTATGCCCCGCAGCTGATGTTTTATGTTCCATCCATTCCATGATAATTTCTTGCCCTCCCTGCTTCTATTTGCTCCGTTGCCTTTTCCTCTTTGGGGGACATCAGCATGTTTATCTCCTGTAACCATCCACACCCTTGCGAATCTCTCTGCTTTCCGCAAAAGTCATCCCTCCTTCCCCAACACCTTAACATAAAACCCACCTAACTTTAACCCCAAACTGTGATGTATCGCCCCTCTTCCCTCTTTCGCCCGCTTGCTCCTGCTCACTACATCTTACTTTGCAATCTCTCTCTCTCTCTCTCTCGTCCCCGAGCTCCCAAACATCAAGCACAATGGCCACTTGACACCTACAATGACTTGTATGGTCATTTTCTTCCTGCAAACTATGCCGGAAATTCCCCTTCCGAGTGGCTCGATGGACCATGCCCAAATCTGTATACCAGGACTGTGAAAGCTCATTCTGTGATGGGAAACAGAACAATATGAACCCCCATTCTTCCCATCCATTTGTTCATTCTTGTAGATTGTTGTAGTAGAAAGTTAATAGTCTGTATTCACCATACGTTTGTAATGAAATCGGACTCCAGATGTGTCGCTGATAGCTAAGTTCAGCCGATAGTGACTACCTAGTCTAATTCACTGGCCTGCCACGGTCCCACTCACTCTTAGTACCTGTTCTTTTCGTCCCGGCAAGTCATTATTGTCAGCCCCAGCGGAAGTATTCAGTATATACGGCATTTTCGGTGATAGAGAGTTTTCGGGGTAAAACTCTGCACATGGAACTCTCGTCTCCACCGGGGTTGAAATTGTTGATGGACATATTGTTTACACAAGTGAAGCCCAATGCCCCTAAAGCGAATACCGAGCTAGCTAGCTACGGTATGTACGTCAGGCGACCCGCTTGCTCAGCAACCGCCGATAATTCCCAATCAACGTGTCGGGAAACACCTGGAGAGCAGAGCAATTCCCCCCCTTCCCCTCTCTCCACATCCACAGGCCCACTAGTAGGATCCTTTCTCAGACTGACCGAGCAAGCCAATAATGGAAGCCACAGGCAAAAGACATGCATGATATGAACATCGTCACTTCATTGTAGTTAAGATACAGATTCATCCCTACCCGTATTTACCCCAGTGCATCATAGACAAGATCTCTGTTTTGTACATGTATGAAATAAAAGAACAAAATGCTTTAACCCTCGGAGGGTAGATAGGTACATACAGTACTGTACATTGTATCATGGGATCTGTGATGTTGATTGGATGGGGTTGTGAATAAGAGGAAACACAGCCGAAGGGAATATATGAGGCAAGATTGTAGGGACAACGAGATGGGTTCAACGGATGGAAGAAGAGAATTCGAGGCAAAGGAAGAAAGGAGGGTGCTGGTCTTGAGATATCAAGTCCTTTGAGCTGCTGGGTCATGGCCAATCCCGGGGGCCGGACGTACAAATTCCGAAACTCCCTCGTCGATGTATGTGCAGTAGTGGCCGAGATCATGCAAAGAAATAGATGGCTGGGGAAAAAGAAAGAAACAAACGAGGGAGCATATGAAGAAAATCGCTCAGACAGATAGAAGTAAATTCGTATAATGCATATTTGATCTCATGGTGTCACGCAAGGCAGATTTGCAAACAGGAAATTTGCCAGAGTTGATCGGTTGAGTCAGTGGTAGTAAGTGCATCGGAAGAAGTCTCTCGTTACATGTGCAAATGCAGGCGGGTAGTACTTCGTACAGACGTCTCCAAGAATGCTCCTTGGCGATTCCGGGAGAGTCAAAATCAAAATCATAAGAGAAACGCCGGCTGAACTGAAATCAATCCATATACCAAGAATGAGGCGCTGCGTGATATGGTGTAGGTGTATGGGAGAGTGTGGATGCGTAAACGACGTTGGCGTCTTTAGATGAGAGGTAGGAAAGAAGCAAAAAGAGGCGTGAACGGATTTAATCAATTCTGTCATCGAATGTGATGTTAGCGTCATCCGACACGACAAGTGACCGCGGTCGAAGCCCGAATTTCCGCGCGCCTAGACTGTTGGTTCGAACTCGGTTTTGGCTGATAGGAGTGTAGCTAGTAGCTAATTTGCTCGAGGGTGCAACAATTCGAGTCTGGGAGGCCTCTGGTCGTGGATGTAAGACGCTCTCCTCAATGGAACCATCACTCGTGTTAGTGGCAGAGCTAAGACCGGATGCTGCCCCGTACCGACGATAGCCAGCTTGGATGTTTGAGCGCGCAGTGGCGGGGGTGTAACCTGGAGTCATCAAAGTTCGGCGCAGAGGAATCGCGGATTGTGAGAGACTTGGCGTCCGAGGCTGAGGCAGTTGCGACGGTTGAGGCTGAAGCGAGAATCTAGGGTTGCGATCCGGTGTTGCAATGGCCTTGGACTGGGATGCGGTATATCCGTGGGACATGCGCTGGCGCGGCGATACGCGATAGTTGTTTGCCGCGCTGCTAAGGTCCGCGATACTCCTTGTGGGCGAGCGAACCTGCGGGGTCTGTTCAAGAAGGGCCTCTTCATCAGTTCGATGCCGCTTGGTTCGTAACGAAGTCGAGAGTCGACTCAACCGAGTGGGGGCAGGTGAACTGGGTGAATGGGCCACTTTCGCTTCTGAGACTGGTTCGTTGTGCTGGTCGCCGTGCTGGGACTCTGGGGAAGGAATGGCAGTTGCGACGCTTGATCGACGGGCCTCTAGACGGCTGCCTACACGCTTGGTGCTATGTCGTCGCACTAGCCCATCAGAGTCTAGAGTCGTGCTTCGGCGAAAAGGCAGCGTCGGAGTCAACGTGTCGTCGTCGTGCGCATGCCTTTCCTCTTCCTCAGTTCTACCATTGACGACCAAGGCCGATTGACTCCGGTGTTGCTCGTCCGATAAGGCAAGGCATAGCTCGGTTAGACTGCGGCAAAGGCTGTCCGCTTTCCGTCTCGCCTGCCTATCAGATGTGCTATACCCGTTGACCATGGATCCGGTACCAGATGGGGCCCTGCAGGATCCAAGGAGAGTCGAGAGCGCTAGCGCGTCAGTAGCGGTCACCTCTAAAGCGGCGAAGACTTCATTGCTGAGCACGTCCTTCGCATTGACCAAAGCCGACTGCAGCAGCGGATGGACAGGGCTAGGACCCGCAGGTGCCTCTGCCTCACCCGAAAAAGTGCTTGTCTTGTGGGGACGCCTGGGCGAAGACGACACTGTAGTCATAGTCGTTGTGGCTGTCGGTGGCCGTTCCCCAGAAGCGGAGGAGATCGCTTCCTGGGACGAGGGCGGCAGCTTCCCAGTCAATTCTAGCTTTTTGATCCGGGACTTGAGATCTTCGAGCTCGTCCCAGACCGTGGAAGGCGCGGTTGTCGACAAGGTTGATTCCGTCCCATCTTGACGGGACCGCTCGGACTCGAATCGAGCGCGTTCGGTCACATCCGAGCTGGATGGCTGTCGGCTGCTTCGAATTGACGAAAGGGTCGATTGGCGATAGGCTCGGGGCTCGTGCAGCGAACCGCGTCTCTCGGGGTAGGATTCGGGGCTGTAGGATAAGGGTTCGGGACTGGACCGGCCCAGTCGACTTCGTGGTATACCAATTGCGGACCTGGAACTGGGACCATAGGCCGAGCTGGACGGGCGGCTATGTTCATCCAGCGGATGGGCGGAAGCTGAGTAAGAGTATAGGGCGGCCGTGTGGGGGGTGGACGGAGATTCTTGTTGCGGATGCAAGGGGCTATCGTAAGTATTCAAGCGAAGCTGCTCGGGGTGAGGCATCTGTTCCGAAACACGAGAGGTTGATGAACGAAGTGCACTGCCAGACATTCTGAATCGCGACTGTAAGTGCCGAGATCCGACGTAAGTTAGCTCCAGTTTCCCACAATCACTAATGAAAAGCACAGCAAATTAGCTCCAGAGCCCCCGACTCACCCGTCGAAGCTCGGATCGCCCGAACGAATCGCGACGACCAGAATCCGATCTCGCGATGTTTAAGAAAATGTCCTCGCTTTTGGCGCGGGTATCATCTGCGACCGGTGTCTTATTGCCGTCTCCTGACTGACTGTATCGGTCGAGCCCATCGACACCGCGACTGCGCTCGTCAGCCGGCGTTCGCCCCTGAGCATAAACCACCGAGGAGGCGGACATTCTATCGTTCACGTCTGGAATCGTCTGCTGGTCATAAAGAGAGGATTTCCGACGCTTGGGTGCATTGGGATTCGTCGCGCGAACCGTCGAGGGAGCGTCAAGGGGTAGCGGAGAATCGGGGTCGTTTTCTACGGCCAGTCGAGGTGATGTCGGTTGATAGCCAAACCCCGCTGGATCGCGAACGTGGGACAGATGGAAGTTGGGGACTGATCGCCGGGGTCTGTCATACAGGATGGTGCGTTGTTGGGGGGTCGGAGTCGGGTCTGGGCCCGGATGCGTGTCGTCGCTGTTCTGGACGGAAGAGGTGGCGGCGCTGGTGTGCGACGATGTCAGAGCTCGTTTGCGAAGAGGATACTTGTATTCGAAGCTGAACCGGCTCTGAGGGGGACGAGGAACAGCGGAGGGAGAAGAGGTATGCGAAGCAGCAGCAAAGGCGGCCGATGAGGAAGAATGGGATGACGAAGAGGTAGGCGAAACAATTGAAGTTGTTGTTGTTGTTGTCGGACGAGCTGAAGGGGAGTAATAGTCGTCGTTGTCGCAGCTGCCGCTGGCGGCGGGAGTCGCTGTCTTTAGCGCGGTTGCTCTGCCCGCCTCACGGGGTTCCGCCGCCAACATTACACCTACGCCTGTCGGGCGCATTCCTGGTTTCGTCCTCGTCACGGACGGACCTTCGCTCTGACGTAGGTTCGATCCGGCACTGAAGGTAATAGTCCTGGCACGGTTGACAATGGAACGGCGACAGAGGGACTCATGCGGGTCCTGATGTGGTACATGTACATGAAGATGTGGCTGGTTCACCGCGGATTCGGTCTTTCGACGTCGA